ATTTAGTCTTTAAGTCTGACTTTTGCCACAATATCCCACTGTCATTTCACTTCAAAATCTATCTTATATTTCAGAAAAAAAAAAGCCTTCATCCTCTGATATTCTAAAAATAGACTCCTACGGTCTCTTTTACAAGAAACAATTAGGCTTGGTTACAAGTCCAGCCATACCAGCCACATTATCAATATCTAAAATTCTTATTTAACCTCATTTTGGTAAACAAAATGACAACTAAATATACCAAAAAGATAATTCTTACCTATATGCTGCATTTTCTTTCAAATACAAAATGGTTAGACTCCCCTTCTACTTAATCAGTACAGTGTCTGAGCATTTTTCAGTCTGACTTGCAAATATTTGCTTTCCCTCTTAGTGCACAGCATCCGCAGGGTTATACAGCACTACTTACATTCTCTTCCACATAAAAATCAGACATTACATGAAAGGAAAAGAAAGACAGCCCATTTCAAAGCATCTGGCAAACCTCCATTGGCAACCTGCCAAGCCTCTGCTAAACCTTCCTGTCTTTCCGAGCATGCTCACTTAAGACCAACACCATGTTACTATGGCAACTCTGTAGGCAGCCTGTAAGTATGAACCGCCATTCTGATTTCAGAGTGCAAAAAATCAAATACTGCAGGGGAAGTAAGAAGAGGAAAATACTGCATACCCTTTATTACATGCAATATACTCATTTTAATTTCATAAGTTTTTATCTTTATCTGTAAAACAGGAACAAGTATTCCACATTTTCCAAGCAAAAATTTTCCATGCTCAGCTAGGTTTTCCTTTTTAGTAAATTCTCTTTGTCTTGCTATTAAAACCTTTACCTCATAACAACCAAAAATATATTGAAAAATTTAATCTATTTCACAGAACACTGAATTGACAGCAGTATTCATGTAAGCAATTATGTGGTACTCCATGGACGACTTCCTATAGTTATATATTAATGATACGGTAATATTCTAAAGAAAATTGTTTTTATAATTTAGTAAACTGAACTGAAATATTCCTTGGGTTTGAACAGAATTTTTTTAATCCACATTATCATTAAGATACTGTGCAAGGTCTGAAAGAGGTGAAGTTTTGATGACAGACCAGTAGATCTGTTACTCAAATCTCTGTACACCTTACTGAGTTTAAGAAAAGTGCTTAATCTTTCTGAACTACACTTTTCTCACCTGTAAATTAAAATATGGGTTGTTTCATTCAGTAGCAATTTAAACTTATAAACACATCTTTAAAATTACATACATAAATGTCACATTTTGTTCTTTCTTCCTCAGAGGACACTAGAAGAACTCAAGTTTCCACTTGTTGATTATTTGATCTAAAAGTACTTTCTTGCAATCTTTTTTATGAAAAGCAAGGAGAAAAGGCGATCTTTGCAACCCCTTGCCCACTAAAAATTAGTTTTGATTTACCCACTAACCTAGAAACTAAGGAAAATGTATTATCTCCCAAATCAAGCTGTGATAGAAAAGATAGAAACAAATGGCATTACAATACGGTGGTATTTTTTTTTTCACTTGAAAGTATTTTTATATGTTACAAGCATGAAGTTATGCTTACCACATCTTCTTCTTCCTTTTTGGTCTCCTTTTCCTTCTCTTCTTCATTTTCCCCTGCTGGACTATCTTCATCATCACTACTGGATGACTCAAGGATTTCATTTATATCCATTTTCCAGCTATCAGGAACAACTCTACTTTTTATGAAGACGCTTGCTTTCTGCAGCCCTGAAAGAAAAAAGAAAGTCCTTCAGAAGTTATGGTAATAGTTCACAGTCAAGCATACTACTCACTATCAAAGAACCTGGATTCAGAATCAACTGCCAATGTCTGCAATGATGCAATAGGAATTGAACCTATTTTATAATTAAAAGGTCATACTGTTTTTACTCTAGGAAATACTGTTAGAAATTTTAAATGTAAAACTTACTGAAAATTTCCAAATATTTTACTCAGATGTAAAAAAAAAAAAAAAGACATGAGTGGCCGGAGTGATAATACAGCAGGTAGAGCACCTGCCTTGCACGTGGCCGACCAGGGTTCGATCCCTGGCATCCCATATGGTCCCCTGAGCCCCGCCAGGAGTGATTCCTGAGTGCAGAGCCAGAAGTAACCCCTGAGTATTGCCGGATGTGGCCCAAAAACAAAACAAAAAAAAAAAGACCTCAAATAGGAGTAAATATGGGGCCCAATTGATAGTTCAGCGGTAGGGCACTTGCCTTGCATGCAGCCAACCTGGGTTTGATCCCCAGTATGCCAAATAGTCCCCACAAGTCTGAGCTCTGAATCAGAAATAAGACCTGAGCACTGCCATGGGTGGCCCCAAAAACAAACAAAAGAAACAACAACCACAAAACAAAACAAAACAAAAAAAAAACCCTACCACACACACAGACAAAAAAGAATTTTGTTCTATACTAAGTTCTTCCCTGACTGGGGAGTTTCTTTCTCTTCTACTTTCCAATAAACCTTTCTATATCCAACACTAAAAAAAAAACCAAGTAAATAGACACTATAAATTGTTATAATGGCACAGAGAAATAGTCAGTCTTGCTTTTCAGTCACCATTTACAATTCAGAGTCACATCATCAAATTATTAATTGATTCTTCTTTGATTATTTTACCTGGCTTAGCGGAGAGTTCAGAATCAGGTAGACTGAGAATGTCTACTTCCTTGATGTCTTTTCTTGCTATAGAATAACTATGAAGAAGAGGAAGGGAACCATTATTAAATAAAATTCAATGCTTAAATAGTTTATGTTAGCACAGAAACATGTAATCCTCTAAATGAAAATTATTTTGTCTACAAAATGTTTTTAAATGATCCATTATCCTAATTAATTAAGGACAGAAGATAATACAGGCAGGCAACTCTACTAATTTCATTCTAACGATTCACTACTCAGAGTATACTACTTTCAGAGTTTCATATAAGTATACTTCAGTGCATGAAGTATGAGGTAGCTTATATCAGCACCATGTTTCTCTTATAAAAGAACAGAACTATATTTTGATCTTTAACTTTGTAAATGTGTTAGAAGATAACTAAAATATATTTTTCATTATAAGATACAGTGTAACATTACATTATTTACTAATAACAATATTCATTTATGTATTTAAAAGTTTCTTTCCAGGGCTAAGGTTGAACCCAGTGGCCTCACACAGGTGAGGCATGCACTCTACTAATGAGCCACATCTCCAATCAATACAATGCATTTTTAACTTGTATTTAGATCCTATGCTTTATAATGCTTAATGATTTCAGGCATACAGTGTTCCACTCCAAACCCACCATCAGCATCCCTCCACCTATTTCTCAAGATCACCTTCCAGCTTCCCACCCTTCTCTATATCTTTTTCTGGAAACAAAATCTGAGGTTAAAGAAAATTTAAAACTCTGATTATCAATTTTTAAAAAGTCAACATAATTACTATCATACTACAAATCATACAAAAAAGTAAATTTCATAGCTCACGATATTATATGCATGTATACATGTATGTATATATATATATATATATATATATAACACACACATATACGGTAAAAATATAGAAATATAGAACTTATAGGCCAGGGGGTATATAGCTCAAAGACAGAGCAATTAACTTACACATGCAAAAAAGTAAATATACACTCTAAACTGTTAAAATGGCACAAAGAAATATTCAGTCTTGCTTTTTAGTCACATCATCAAATTATTAATTTGGGTTAATAATTTTGCCCAGGGTTAGATCCTGGGCAAAACACACACACAAAAAGACCTTTTCTAATTAAGAATAAATCAATACCATGCTTCATTAAACTTTTAAAATTCTATGCTCACATCATTTTGAGCTTTTTTAAGTTTTATCTGTTTAAAATAACTTGTATTACAAAAAGGTTAACATATCAGATAACTTAATTCATGAAATAATTAGATTTTTCAAAATAGTCTTGGAAAGGGAGGAGTCTTATCATTGTGATTCCATATTTTTTCACCCATGTAACACTATTACGGGATTCATTACTCACAATTTAGAATCAATAAATGATCGAACTAAACACTGGTCTTTTTTCACTGTGATATCATCATTACAGCTGGGAGATATTACCTAAAATATAAAAGAAGAAATGATTTACTCCTATTTCCTTACTCAAATAAGTATCTTTTAGAAGAATAATTCTGAATCCTCTAACTTCTCAGAATTATACAAGAAATAGCTTTTGGTCAATAGGTTTCATTACTAATAAATTACTTCAGAGAGCCACTCTATATTTTTTATTTAGTATATTGGTTTTTCAGATATTTAATTTTTCCAGCCATTAGACTGTAAAATAAGCAACAAGATATAAATTACAACGTGAACATACTTTAAAAATATTAGGTCTTACTCTGTGCTGAATATTTATCATGTTACTCAAAATATAAAATGACATGATGAAAATTTGGCATATTTTAATATTTTAAAATGTTCAATTAGGGATGGGGTAGAATTTTGGCTCAGAGGCAGAGCAGTTGCCTTGCATGTGTCAGGGCCTGGATTCAACTCTCTGCACTTCATGGTCCCCAGAGCACTGCTGTGAACAACTTCTGAGCACTAAGCCAGAAGTGGACCCCAAGCATAGTTGGGTATATATCTCCTGTAATCTCTCAAAAACAGTACTTGAATCAAGATTTATTGAAATCAGGCTATTTGTATGAAATAAAAACACATCTACATCATCTTCCTTACCACAGAATGTACAATTACCAGTAATCAAAACAGAGGAATTCTTAAATAATCTTCTTTAGATTTCTAGAAATAACAGATGTCTGAATATATATGTTTTAAAAAAACTATTTTTATAGAGCTTATCTTTTTAATTAATTTTGATCTTTAACTTTGTAAATGTGTTAGAAGATAACTAAAATATATTTTTCATTGTAAGATACAGTGTAACATTACCCTAGTGATAGCCCTACCCCACTGTGCTATCGCTTCAGCTCCCAGAACTTATTCTATTTTTAAAAAATTAAAGTCTACTGTGTTCTTTACACTAACTATATAGAAAGAGGAGTAATAGTAATCCCACCCCAAATACAACCCAGTCTAGGCCCTCTGACTGGTCTATATTGTGAATGGGGAACATGGACTTGAGGAGTGTTGGAAATTAATCAGTTTCTGTTTCCTCCAGGCAAAGCCTGGGTGTGGGTGGATTCAGTCCATGGCTTTGCTTTTTCTTCCCCCATTTTGACCAGAGTGACTAAAAAATTTAAAAAATAAAATAAAGTCTACAAATAAGATACTGAATTGTACCTGCACTTTATCCCCACTAACACTGGTCCCTTCCACTAAACACACATATACACAATGGAAATGTTAGGTATCTGCACTGACCAACACAGGAGCAGTGAACACATGAACTACAACTAGCAAACTAAGGAAATTAATTTCATTCTCATTTTTCGATTTTAAGTTGTTCTGAAACTTAAAACTACTATACAAAGCTCCTGACTGGTGAAGGGGCCTCTGCAACTGTGCCCTACAGTGGGGTTGTGACCTTTGACACCTACAGACTGGCACCTGTCTGGCAGAGACCCATCCACAGCACCAAAGCTCTAACCCAGGAGATTGTCGGTCTTTCTACAACTGTGGACTGGCACCAGTTCCTGGACTGTGGTCATAGAAAGCTACCCTGAAGCCCAGGGTCACTCCCTAGAGACAACTGACTTAGAAGTGGTAGGCCTGAAGATTGGGTGGCAGATCTGGTGAAGATGCTGTTCAGCCCAGTGGTGCCAACAGCCACTACATCCCTGTGGTACTCAGGAGCCACCAGGGCTACACTCAACAGTGCTGGGGGTAAAGGGACAGCAGCACCAGGGATCAAGTTTATAGCCTTGAATGTTTACTCTACCCCTTTAACAATCTTCTCAGACACTACTTCAACTTTCTGTTTTGGGGCCACATGCAGCAGTACTTAGGGCTTACTCCTGGATGTGCACTCATAAATCACTCCTGGCTGGCTTGGAGGACCATTTGAGATCCCAGGGACTGAACCTGGGTCTGCCTACGTGCAAGGCAAGTGTACTACCTACTATAGTTACTCTGGCCCCACCTACTATTTTTTTAAAAAAACAAGTATTACACCCTCTCAAGGGGGGAGCCTCGGGACCACTCTTAAAGGTGCAGGGAGAACAATTAGTGCCGGGATTGGGAAGGAACAGGTGAAAGAATTCAAGATCTCAGACATGCCAAGTATATGCCTACCATTTGAGCTATCTCCCTGGCCCCAATTTAAAATTCTTGGTAAACATGTTAGCTGTCTTAACAACAAAGGGAACACCATATGTTCATTTGGTGCTGGTACCTATTAGACTAATACTCAATTATATCAGCCCTCAAAGAGGTAACAGTGTATAGAGGAGTAAACACAAAAAAGAAACAAAACAAACAAAAAAGGGAAAATATGCACAGAAATGCCAGTAACCATAAAACATAAAAACACCTAGGAGTAGGATTTTATCCAGTGGTTTCTAAACTTATCTGACCTGCTGCTCCCTTTTCAGGAGAAAATAATTCAGCAACCCCATGGAAATCTACCTTAAGTGAATAAACAGAAACTGCACCCCAACCTCACCCAAGACTATTCCCAACCCAATGCCCCACAGGATGTTGTTACCACCCACTTTGGGAAATACTGATTCAACCCAACACCGGGACAAAAATAGTATTTCAGCAAATGCATCAGATTAGTAGGCACAGCTCAAGGATTAAATACCTCACCTGTGAACTATTCTAAAGATCTCCAAATTGATTCTTGCCATACCCAGTCTTTCCAACAACCCATCCAACATACCACCGCCTCATTAACAGTGCTAAATGCGTAACTCAAATGTCACTCTTTTGCAAAATTCTGTGCAAAATTATGTTAAGAATCCTTAGATGGACTCTATCTTTTGAGGGGAAGGAAAAATGAGTGAGAGGTGTTAGTCTACACCTGGCAGCGCTCAAGGAACTATGCAGTGCCGGAGACTAAACCAGATCAATGGCAAGCAAGGCAAGAACTTAACCTCAGGGGGCTGGAGCAATAGCAGAGCTGGTAGGGCGTTTGCCTTGCAAGCGGCCGACCCGGGTTTGATTCCCAGCATCCCATATGGTATCCTGAGCACCGCCAGGGGTGATTCCTGAGTGTAGAACCAGGAGTAACCCCTGTGCATCGCCGGGTGTGACCCAAAAAGCAAAAAAAAAAAAAAAAAAAAGAAGAAGAACTTAACCCCAACAGTCCCTTTAGTTCAAGATGAACTTTTTTTTGACCACCCCCAGCAGTATTCAAGGCTGACACCTGGCTCTGAACTTGGAGATCAATCCTGGAGGGTTCAGGGGACTAACATGGGATGCCAGGGATTGAACCTGGGTTAGCTGCATGCAAGGCAAACACCCTACTTGCTGTACTATCATTCCAGCACCTAAGCTGAACTTTTAAAGCCCCTTTTGCCCTAGATCCAAATTATCTTCCAGGTCTTACTTCCTAGTACTCTTCAAATCTAAAACTTAGCCAAAATGAAAAATGATACTAAAGTCAATTCCAGGACAAGCACTTTGCTTCTCTACTTTTAATAATCTCATTTCCTCTAAGAAAGTTCTGTTGCAACTCTGCAACTCTACTTAATAACTTTGTTTTATTCAAGGTTCAGTTAAAAAGCACAAGTTTTATCAAAGGTTCTCTGGATTTTTTTCAAGACAAGAGTCTTCTCTCAGGACAAGAGTCATATTTTTGACTATTCATGGTTTCATTTATTTATATTATGCACTACTTGGATTATTCTCTATGCTAAACTATAAAATATCAAATTAAGATGTTGTCTTACTCATATTTTATTTTCTATGTCACTGACAAATCTGTCGAGTAATGAAGGAATTTGTTAAAAACAAATCTCTTGGCAAATTACGACCTAAATATTCTGAATTCAAACCTGTTTACTTGTCTACCTGTAACTGAAAAACTCAAACAATTATCCAGAGGTTCAGAAAGACAGCTCTCAGAACTAAGTGTATACTTTGTTTTGAGGCAGACACAAGTTTGATCTGACACTGTCAGGTCAGCTGAGTACCACTGGGAATTAACCCGGAGCAACTTGATAGTAGTAACCCCTAAGCACCATGCAATGGCCCAGAAGACAAAAGAAATTCCAATTAAAAAAAGAACTATGATCAAAATTTTCCTATATAAAGAATTACCATAGATAAAGTAAATCTATTACCTCAGAATTAAATAATTTACTTGCACAAACGAAACGTAAAAGCAGGGCCTCAGTTCTTGAAAAATTTGTACAGTAACTCAGGATATTATTTTGTGACAAAATCACTACTGGAGATCTACAGAGATAGCTCAAAGTACTTGAGCACATGCTTCATAAGGAGACCAGGGATGAGATCCACTACTGTATGGTCCTTAGTAACATGATGCGTGCCAAATCTTTTTTTTTAATTTATTAAATTATATCTACTGAGATATAAGTGGTATCAAAATGCAAAAAAAAAAAATCATACTTAGGTTAGAGTGGAACAGAAGGGCTTAACACATTCAAAGCCCCAAGTTCATTCCCTGTGGCGCCACGTTCCCCGTCCAGGCAGGTAGTCCCTGTGGTGCCCAGCATTGAACTATCAGGCTGACATCTGCAGCTGGAGTATCCCAGGAGTGGCCTTTCAGGCCTGCCATCAACTCTGCTGGCTGTGGCCATATTAAAAATAAAAATAGAGTGGTTAGGAGAGACTGCAGAAAAGTTGGGACCTGGACTGCTTTCTGAGATATTTAGGAAAGGAGAAGGGAAAGATAGATATTTACCAAGCACTACTAATCTCATGATATAATGTCTTATCTACCCCTTTTCCTTATTCCTTCCCATATAGGCAGAAATTACTTTTTCTACCAAGCTATCTAAAGTCTACCATTTCCACAGTCTAGGTATATTGTTCTTTTATAAATACTCTATCCCACTCAAGTGTCTATACCAAAAATAGTTTTTGGTTTTAACTTTTTTGGGGGGGCGTGGGGGTTGCTGGGGCCACACCTAGTGATACTCAATGGTTACTACTTCTGGTTCTACACCAGAAATTACTCCTGGGAGTGCTCAGAGGACCCCCTGGGATGTCAGGTATCAAACCTGGGTTGGCTGATGTAAGGTCATTGTACTTTCTCATTCTACCCATTGTACTATCTCTCCAACCCCAGTATAGCAGAAGTGTTTTAATAACATATGATGTGTATTTATTTGTAATATTTCAAGGGATGTCTAGTAAGCTTCTTGAGGGCAATGTGTTACAAGTCTCTTCTTTCTTTCTTTTTTTTTTAAGTCTCTTCTTTCAAAGGAACTCAGGTCAAAGGGGAATGCACTATAAGTTCTCAAGAGACTGATTTAAAGCAAAGCAAAGTTTTGGAGGAGGCAAGTACCGAATATAGGCAATAATCAAAAAAAAACATGAATATGGGCTGGAGAGACAACTTGCCTTGCACAAAATTATCAATAATAAAGAAATTAAGCACCAGAGCAATAGTACAGCAAGCAAGGGCACTTACTTTCACATGGCCAACCCATGTTCAACTCCTGGCATTCCATATGGTCCCCCAAGCATCACCAGGAGTAATTCCTGAGTATATAACCATGGATAACCCCTGAGCTAACTAGGTGTCAAAAAAATAAATAAATATGGGCCAGAGAGAATATAGGAGGTAAGGTGTTTGCTTTGTATACTGCTATGGCAGCAGTAATACTAGTTCAAAATACATGGCAGGCACACATATGGTCCTCTGAGTACTGTCAACGGTCAATCCTGAGCACAAAGCCAGGAACAGTCCATGAGCACTGTCAGGTATGACCTAACACTACCCCTCTCCCCAATTCTCCTGCCGAAAAGAAAAAATAAAAACCTGAATTAAAAAAAAGAAAACAGTAAGCTAAGGATGATCTCAAATACCCATCTAAAGATGCAAAATTAACCTCTAAGACAGTTCATGAGATTTGATTTATTTCTTTGTAATAGAATGGGATCGAGCGGGCCCCGGTAGCTTGCCGGGGCTGGAGCGATAGCACAGCGGGTAGGGCGTTCACCTTACAAGCGGCCAACATGGCCGACCCGAGTTCGATTCCTCC